AACAAAAATTAATTCCTCACTGTATGCGTAAATATTTATGCGATTAAATTAATGTTTTTAATAAGTTAATTTGTGTAAACCACCATTCTTAAATCATCAAAACGGTTTTAAGTGCATAAAATTCCGAATATTAGATAAAATTAGCCTCAAATTCGCGCACTGTATTGATGCCAAAAATATATATAAGTAGTAATTATCATCATTGCTACATTAAGAATGGGTAAATTAAATATGAAATATGATATTTTTCACAAATCTCATAAGTTGCCTTATAAAATTTCAGCTTACAAGAAAATGGCTCTATAAAAATATAACATTTACCGAAGGGAAAATAATGTTACAATATTCACTATTATTTTTTGATTAAAAATAAATTGAAAATGAAAGAGGATCGCATTTAAAAAAATCGTCCTAAGATAAATTCGTTTTGGTTAAAAACTTAAATGTAATAAAGATAAAGATTTGAATTATTGTATTGAAGCATATAAACAACTGAAGCATTATAAGAATGATAAATATAGAAGATATCGAAAGAAAAAAAATTTGTAATAAATGTTTTCCAGTATAACAGAGGAAAGTGACCTAGAAATGGAGATATAAATATTTATGGGCTATAAATAAGTCTTCAGATAATTTGTCCAAGTAGATATCTCGCATTGGTTTTCTCATTTAGGAAAAGTAGAGAATTCTGTTTAGGATTTTAGCAATTCTGAAAACTATTTCTTTCTTTCCTTATTACAAATTTTTTTTGAATGTATCGTAATATTACGAACTTCTAAATTAAAGAATTGATGAAAATGCTATTAATCAATAATATAACTATCAAATTGAATTATTTTTATTTCATTGTTAATCATAGTTTATAATAGTAATGCAGCATTTTGATTTTAAAAAGTATGGAAAAAATTACTTAATTTTTGGCGATTAACGTTACTAGTTTTTTTCCCTCAGCTATCAATTATGAAAGTAATGTTATACACGGCGACTCATATTTCAGTATCATTTTTCTTCTATTTTATATTTTAACTATTTTTCATAAGAATGTAATTATTTTAGAAATAAAGTTTTTGCTCACAAGCATATAAGTGGATATTGGCATTGTTGCAAATATTGAAATTGTAGATATAAATATTATGAATGCTGACTGGTTAATTTTTACAATATATTGCTACAATATTTTGTAATTTTTTGACAAGCTATAAAGAAAGACTAAGAAATGTTATAACATACATGAGTATTAATATACATGAGTATTAATATATTACTGAGTACATGAGTATTAATATATTACTCAGCATATTATATATATATATATAAGCATAAGTAATATATTAATACTCATGTACTATTTTGTAACATTATATACAAGTATATATATACCCAATGCTGCTTCTAAACTACTCAACTCGGATGAATTAAAGAAAATGTAGTACTAACATGGAGCATTTTTATTTCGGTTAACTAATTTTTTTAATGTAGTATTTTTGTCTATTTGTTAAAAGTAACAATTTTTGGCACAAACTGTTGTTTAGAAGATGGTTAATGAAGCAATCAAAAAATATATATTTTTTTCAATTTTCTTGGAAGTTTTTTGTTAAGTTTTGAAGGAAAAAAAATGCTCCAGTAAAAATTAACGAACGTTTATTTGTGTAAAAATGAAATTAAATGTACGCTATAGAAAAGCAATGGAATAAAAAATTAAAAAAAAGTAACTATTTAGGTCAAAAAGATAAGCAATGTCTTGTTTAAGCACAAATTAATACTTAAAATAATTATAAATAAAAACTAAAAGCATTTAGGGTATTTAAATTACTTCTAATGTAACACGAATATAGTTGTTCCAAAATGTAACTATTTGTCAAAAAACAAATTCATCAAGCACTGAAAAGTACTTTTTAAAAATTCAACGTTTTTTAAAGTTTCTAAACAATACTTTCTTCGTCTATATTGCATAAAAATTCATTTATAAACATTAACGATAAGTGCTTGGAAATAATTTTATTTATTACTTTTGAAAATAAAAAAAATACTATTTCAGTAATTAGTTTGGGGGGTCTTATATATGTTTAATATACAACTCATGAGCCCTAGTTCTGAATATGAAAAAAAAATTAGGGAGGAAAATAATGCAATTTTTATTTCTGTAGGAAAAAGAATCGTTTTTGTGACCCAACATTTGCTCTTGCAAAACTTTTTTGAACGTCTCTTCTTGAGGTGCTGTCATATCTTGATTAATGGAGAATCAATAAAATAGTTTCATAATAGAATGGTACTGCTTATGTTACTATTACATTACGTCAAGGTTTCTAATAATAATCCAAATTAAATGCAGTTCTTGGAAAGATAATATCATCGAGTAATTCAACATCAAGGGAAAAATATTTAAAAAAGAAAACTATAGCAACAATTAATGATTCTAGACATATGTTACGAAGTAAAATTTATTGGAACACAAATTATTGTTTTGGCGAGTTTAGTTAAGTAATACTTTTTTTTAAGAAACAGAAACAAAATTTCTGTATTTCGAAAGATTTTCTTTTTTGTGATTTGAATTTCTTCTTGAAGTGGAACTGCAGTTTGGTTGTCTATTAAAAAGAAAATATTGTTTTTATATGAAATGATGTTATTTGTCTAATAAATACAAAAAAATACGATAATAAATATAAAAACAAATAAGATAATATAAAATTCTGCTAAAATTCTTCCCTAACTCATCTATAAGTTTAGCATTTATACGACCCACTATTATATATAACGTTTTTAACCCCTTCCTTCTCGCTCCCGTGAAAATGAAGGGGTGAGGTTTCCCCCTCTATTTCTCGCTCCCGTGATATTTCCGGGGTGGAGTGTTCAGTAGTAAGGTGCCAATAAGAATAAAACTAATTCATTTCTTTTTCCCGGAAAACATTTTATTTCTCATTTTACACACCAAAAGGCAGTACCAGGATGTTTTTAAGGTAATTGTAGTTTGTTAGTTTATTTTAAACTAGATGTCAGCACTAATCAGGGATACAGAGATAAAAAAAATAGGCACTTTTATAACAGTTTTCTTGGAAATTAACCGATCGTTAAGGGGTTAAACTTGTACATTTCGACAAAAAATAGACTGAAAATATCATTAAAAAAAACAAACAAACTGTAACTTGGAAGGAGAAACCGATTGCAGATTTGAAATCAGTGATATGAAAGCATATGGGATCTGTTAAAAATTTCACGCAACGGAAAAATTTTTTCTTCAGTGTTATGTATATACAATGTGCAAATTAAAAAAAAAAAAAAAATAAAAAAAATAAAAAAAAAAAACCGGATCACTCTGAATTATTTTTCATTTCATGATCGGAACTTCACGTTCTAAGACTCAGTCTTAATGGTTCGAGGGGGTGACCTCAAATATGTTAATAAATAAGTGCAAATGTTATTTAAAGTTACAAAATCAGACACAAACAATTAGGCACAACTTTAAAAAAAAATCGTATTTTTAAAACTTGATTTCTCAGGAACTATTCACAGATTTTGTTCAAATTTTGTATTTCGTCTTGAAAAATTGCATTCTTTTGAATGATAAGAAAAAACTGCATACCTAGCAATTAAAATTTTTTTCGACTATTATTAAATAAAATAATAAAACAGTATTAAACTGTGGAATAAAACTTATTTTTTGCATGAAATTATTTTTGGAAAAAAGAATTTGCAATTGAGTGCAAAAATCTTTCAATTTAATTAAAAAGTTCTCGAGATATGATGAAACACGCATAAAATGAAATTAACATTAAGGGATCCCAACCTTGGACTGCTCTCCTGACCAAACTATCTGAACCATCTTTCCCAATCTGCGACTGCAACCTATAATTAGGGGTCCAAAATCCAAGTCGTCCCTCAGTGGACTGATCGTAAAGACTCTGTTCCCAGTAGAACACCGAAGTCAAGCATCACTGGTTGCGGTCAGTAAGAGGGTGGGTGACCACTTTGATCAGCCTGCGTAGAGACCGAGGGTGTGCAGTATTGGTCCTCGTTAAACTGCTCTACCGTAAGGTGCCGGACTTCTCGCGCTGCTACCAAAGCTGGAGAGCCATCCCCTCTGCAGAGTATCAAAATTGCTATGTCATGTCTTCGGATCATCCTTAGGGATGTTTCCCGGACCGTCGCCAATAGCCCATGGCGCATCTCTAGTGCAACGTAAATAAATTACCTACCTACAAAAAATCAAATTCCTTCGAAAAAAAAATGCATGTTTATTCTGAAAAAGTACGCTTTCGTGTCTGATTTTGTAACCTAAAATATCACCTGTAATAATTTATTTTATATCTTATTTTTATACCTGTCGTTGAACAGCCGACCCAATATTTTGGGTTTACGACTATCAATGTTCAACTCCGTAGCCTTGCGATTTTGAACCCGATCCGGAAGACAAGGAATCTCCTGGATCAAGTTATGGGAAAAATTTGTCTTCGTGGAAGACTTTTAGATGGAACTAACCCGCAATTGTGTTACATGGTTAGGAAAACCACGAGAACCTCCTACGGTTAGCCTGACGGCAAGGAGACTCTAACCCTTGATCCGTTTACCACTGAGGATATTTCACGTCAGCACCGTGCTCGGTGCAAGCCGGATGTTGAAATCGTATCGATCAGCCATCTGCGGGATTTGGACCCGGCTCAGCTGAGTGGAAGGCAAACGCTCTATCCCCTGAGCCATCGCGGCCCACACTAATTTATTAACATATTTGAGGTCAACTTTTTAAACCATTAAGATTGAGTTTTAGATCAAAAGTTATTCAGGGTGGTCCGCTTCTTATTTTATGCTCCGTACAACAAACGGTAGTGTAAAGGGAAAGCATTCTAATAAGATGCACCCAATTTAAATAACGCTTTTTGAAACTAAAGATTTCATTAAAAATAATCCATACTTCAAATAGTTCACTAATTGAATTTTCCAAATCTCCGTATTTGAATAATTTTCTACTCTGAAGTCTTTTCTAATGTTGAAAGTCCTCACAATAGGCCCCAGAGAACAGCTTAATCAAGTGACTGCTTACATTGATGGATCGTCTATTTATGGATCCTCAGATAATATCACCAAAACTTTAAGAAGCTTTGAAGGAGGTAAAGTATTTGTAAATTATTGTACATTATTAGAAATTTAATCAATAGATAAGTCTTTCGCTATCATTTTTATTCAAAAGGTTTTGAAAGGATTAGCTGTGTTTCTGATTTCAAAACTTTATTTATGTTGAAGCAAAATTGTTATTTGGCATAAATTTTTTAAAAAAATAAATCAATAAATACATTCAATGTCTATGAGTTATGAAATAAACTAGTTCTAAATCCGAATTTCTATGAAATTAATAATAATTGTACATATAAATTTATATTTTAAGATAATTTACTATTGTTTCTTAATTTAAAAATGTCAAAGATTTTTTCAGATTTGTGAGGTACATTAACTTTTACTCCGTTTTAAACAATCTAATTTCAAATGATAATAAGTAATATACATTATGGCACGCTCTCTATTATACGCAATCTAGATAACAGTGTTTTAGCAATAAAATTTCAAAAAAGTCATATTTTAAAATTTTTATTTCCAAATACTTTTTCGACCAATTTTTTTCAAAATTTGTATTATGTCATTCAAAATAGCATAATGTAAAAAAAGTAAAAATTTTAAACATTATTGATCTTTATTAAGTAAAACAGAACGAGATGATAAATAATTATGTAACAATTATTTTTTGCAAAGAACTTTCGTTGAATAAGCAAAATTTATAATCGTATCTAAAAAGGTTTTGATTTTTTTTTATAGTTCTAAAATTATAGTAAAACACATGGAAGCGTGTGAAAATTCTATTAATTTGAATAAATATTTCCAGATGTTGAAATCAAATCTAATATTAATACAGTTTATTGAATGGATTTATTTTTGTTTTCATTTTAATAGGTAATCTGAAATGGACAGTTATTGCAGGAGAGTTAATGTTACCCAGAAGCCGAGCTCTTCCATGTGCCAGAGTTGAAACACCATGTTTTGCTACAGGTCATTTTCTTAAAGTTCTTTACACAATTTGAAGAATTTAGAAACCATTGTAAATAAATTAATATAAGTTAGTATATGTTGAAATACTTATAGAAAAGATAAAAAGAATGTTAAAATGGCCGTCATTAACAGGACTTGGAAATTTGTAAATAATTTATAGATAAGGGGCAAAGCCGCTGCTTGCTGACCAGTTCCTAAATTCGTTTTCTTCTCATTTTGATGATGATAATAAAAGTGATAATAATAAACAGCAACAAAATAGCAAAAAATAAAAAATAATTGTTTTTTTCAAGAACTATCAACTTTAAAACTTATTAAAAATAGATTTTTGTAAAATCAAACTATTTTAACTAAAATTTTATTTATTGTTTATAATAAAATATTTCAATATTTTGTTTAAGAAAAATAATCTTTTTTTTTAAAATTTTCAATAAATATTAATAACACAACAAATATTTTTTTTGTAAAAGAAAAAAAAACTGTCTACACTGAGAAAAAACGTTTGTTCAAAATTACCAGAATATAATAAATTTAAATTGTTTCTGGCTCTATGGGAACACCAAAAACTCGATAGTTTTTATCTAGACACTTTAGTAATGATTTTGGAAAAATTAACAATAAAATAACGTTTTATAATACGCGCTAAAATTTGGTAAATGTGGCGAAATTTGGCAATTTGCCATGATACTTCAGAGCATAGCATAATAAGCCATTTATTTATTCCATTCATATAATTTTCCAGTTCCGTATGTTTCACTAAATGTGTGGTTAATAAGAATTACAATTTTGGAAACTAGAGTTTCCGATAGACCGTTACAATTTATAAATAGAAAAATTACCAAATGAATGGTTAAATACCATATATTTTGGTTTTATTATCAGAATTATGTTTTTTTACCAGTAATGTCTTTACCATATAGTACGGTAGTTTTACCAGAATTATTTTCTCCGTGGACTTAATTTGAGATTGAATCTTTGATCTTTGAAACGGTACTACTTAATATATAAATTGTTCTTAAGCATTTTCTATATGCACTATCTACCAATAAGTATTTGGACACCTATGCAAATGAATGGTGTTTTTCCTGGTATGGATTGGGACCCTTGGTCCCCATTCATGGTAAGCTCAACGCCGATGCCTACTGCACTATTTTGGATGACAATGTGCTCGTTATATTGTGGCAGCTTTACGGGGTGGACTCCTGTCATTTCCAGGAAGACAGTGCCAGCTGTCATGTTGCGAAGGTCACCAAGGCTTAGTATGGTGCTAATGGGGTTAATAGAATGGACTGGCCTGCCCAGAGCCCAGACAGAACCTCTGGGGCGAGTTAGATCGCCGAATTAAGGGGTGTACTACCCGTCCAAAATCAGTGAAGGAACTTACATGTCTTCTCCAAGCCGAGTGGAAGAAAATACCTCTAGCCGTCACACAAGGACTTGTGGAAAGTATTCACACTGTAATTGCCTCTCGTGGAGGCTCTACTAACTATTGATTATGAATAAAGTTTGTTTTTCTTTTCAATCACGCTGGTCCAAATACTTATTGGTTAATAGGGTATAATTTCATTAAAGATAGGAAAATAAATTTATTCACAATTATATAGATACAATATATATTTTTGTAGGTGACAAACGATCCAATCAAAATATTCTTCTCAGTGTCATGCACGGATTAATGCTAAGAGAGCACAACCGATTGGCAGATCTACTCTCTAAACTGAATCCAGGATGGAATGATGAGATACTCTTCCACGAAGCCAGACGTTTACTTTGCGCTGAAATTCAACATATTACATACAGTGAATTCCTGCCTCTACTTTTAGGTAATAATGAAGTGTATTTTTTTCTTATAAAAGGTAAACTTATTACTTCCCCTTTACAAGGTGTTCGTAAAGTGACCGACTACTTGAAAAAATAATTTAAGAAAAATGAATTAGAAGTGATCAGTTTGTTACGTTATGGTTAGGTAACTAGAAATTTATCCCAAACAAGTTTAAAAATTAGTTACAAAGTTTTCTAAAAGGTGGCGCTTACTTGATAAAATATAAAGCGCTATTTTACTGCTTACCAGATCTTTTAAAGTGAGATGTTTGCACAAGTGTTATTTAGTTTTATTCTCTGATTAGATCACGATATTGCTGCAGTAGATAGTTCTTTTGAAAAAATTGTTTAGCAGTTTCTTATTTATCAGCGTAATCCATCATAAATAAATTTTGTAACTAATTTTGAGACGTGTTAAGAGTTAGATATCCGGTTATCAAACCAAAATACAGCAAAACGTGTATTTCCATTTTCTTTCCTTTTTTTCATTTCAATTTAAAATTGTTTGTTATTGAGACTCATGGTATCAATAGATACTTTTGACCATAAAACTGGCAATTTTAATTTTGAAAGGTCTGGTTTCTTAGGACAAGCGCCTTATCTGGGCGTCAGCGGGACGTCAACGTCCCGCTGACGCCAACAAAATACTGGTTTGTTAGCTCAAGGCCTGGTTTCTTAGAACTAGCGCCTTATCTGGGCGTCAGCGGAAAGTTGACGTAGAGCTGACG